AGAAAGCATAATGCACCAGGTCACCTTCATTATCAACCACATCATTTGATGTAATCACAAAATCTTTCAACCTTGCAACATGTGCCTTATTCTTTGAGGCCCGCTTATACTTGGTTGATCTATAATTGTTGGTTCCTCTTGTCGAACTTCTCTTTCGACTTGAGTTTGTGGTTATTCAAGTAAGATTCTCACCGAATCTTTCTTGACATTTCCAGCCCAATCCCATTATTTAAGCTCATATATGATCACGTCCTTGCGGATCACAATTTGCTTGTTCACTGGGTCAAATAACTTGTAACCTCCTGACGAATGATATCCTACTAGGATCATTTGACTCGCCTTATCATCAAGTTTTCTTATTAACTGATCTGGAATGTGTCTATGTGAAATAGATCCAAATATCTTCAGACGACTCAAGCTAGGATTCACACCTGACCAAATTCTCCTGAAGTAATTCCTTCTAGCTTCTTCGTCGGACATATGTTTAATATGTATGTTGCAGTTGACACAACTTCACCTCAAAACTCTTTAGGTAAATGATTTCCTTTCAACATACTTCTCACCATATTCATGATGGTTCGATTCTTCCTTTATGCAGTCCAATCTGTTATAGAGTGTTGGATAATTCTTACTATGCAAAAATATCGATAAAAGAGAAGTGTTCAAGAGCATCTCCATAAACCCTAATCTTGTTGTTGATTTAACCCCATTCTCTTTCCTTTATCTTGAGAGATACCAAGACACAATAGATAAAAAATGAATATCTGGATCTTGCTACTCCATTGCATTCTTTAACTTCAAAGCTTTTGCGCACCGTCAATCTTAAACTATTGCAACACAAGACTTCGATTCTATCCGATACTCCAAGTTACTTCCTTACAAAGATTTCAAACACTTCAAGGTTCCTTGCAAATATTTTAAGCACTCCAAGGTTGTTCACTTTACCGCAATTACCTCAAGAACGTCTTGCACGAAAATCCCCAAAATCAACCAATGATATTGAAAGAAAACCCGCAATTTTTCCTGGATAAAACCCCCTACAAAACTCCACCCAATACACAATTGGACACTAGCAATCCTCGTCTAGATGGAAACCTAATGGAACATCATTACAATATAATATCAATGTGTATGCATAGATTTGAGGTTGAAGATGAAGAGAGAAATATGCTAATATTATGATTTTTAACAAATTGGAATGATGCATGAAAAAGTATTTATAGTTTTGGAATTTTTAGGGAAAATAGGGATAAATTCAGAATAAAAGAATTTAAGATTGACCAATTAAAATAGTACGTGTCGACCTAAGAGTCATATTTTTCGACACATACATGATTTTTGGACAGTGTGTTGACATATGAAGGCACATGTGTCGACCAGAAAGTTACAGAAGCTACAAGCTTTAAAAGGATAGTAAATGTGTCGACCTGAAGGATGGATGTGTCGACACATAAAATAAAAATCTCTGCATTTTCAGAAATGCTTCAGTATGTGTCGACCTGAAATGATGCATGTGTCGACCTGAGACTTACATAAGCTATATTCTTTAAAAACGCATTACATGTGTCGACCAGAAATATGCATGTATCGACACATTTAGTAAAAAAACATGTAGAAAACTATTTTTAATGACTTGGATCAATTTTGAAATATTTTCTAATGATTCCTAAGACCTCTAATGCAGAGGAGTGCCACAAGACATAAGGATACTATCCAATACTCATAAGTGCAAGCTTTTCCCTGTTTTGACATCATTCAAGACATTTGACGACGAAGTTTATTCTCACATACTGCCCCTTTTTGATGATGGAAAAACTTGCGACGATGCATTCCTTGTATTTATTGAATTCTCCCCCTAAATTTATGCTTCCTTACTTCGACTCGCATATGCTTCTCCCCCTTTGACAACATAAAAAAGAAAGATGGCAAACCATGAGAAGTAACATAGTTCCATAACAGTACTAATACATCAATCAGAGGCAATTTTGCATAGAAGAACAACAAATGTAATGAATTACATAAAACTAAATAGGAAAGATATGACAACAATGTCAAGTGGTTTTTGTAGTGTCACGAACAAGTAACACTTCATAGTGGAACTCCCAACGCTGCACACACTTGTGCCTAGCATAGCAACACGAAAGTGTCGCTACTAAAACCAAAATGAAGATGATATATATGTCATGGAAGCAAAACAACAAGAAACATATATTGCAAATATCATGCAAACCAATAATTCAAGAAAAAAACAAATAAACAAAAGCACATGCTCATATGATGTGAATAAAAGTATATAAATGTGAAAGAATTAATACATGAAGTCATTATAAACGATGGATTAAGAACACACAATGGTTATTAATGAAAAAATTTTGGAAATGAACATTCATGGTTTTCATCATTTGAGAAAATATCAAGCATTCTTGGACGGATCTAGTAACATATATCAAGGCAAATCTTGATTTCAAGGAGAAATTGAAACAATATTACCTTACTCTTGATTAAGATTGAAGTTGCATTCACATGATGTAAAGAACTCAAATACAATATTAGAGTGAAATTAAAGAGTGCAACCAATAGTAAAGGATTAGGCAACATTTGAGATATCGATAATCCCTCATTCCCCATGTATGTTGACAAAAGGTTATGTTGCGAGTGGTTTAGTGAAAATATCGGCAAGTTGATTTTTACTATCAACATGCTCAAACCCAACATCCTCTTTTTCAACATGGTCACGAAGAAAGTGGTGGTGTATCTCAATATATTTAGTGTGTGAATGTAGTACAAGATTTTTGGTTAGATTAATCGCACTAGTGTTGTCACACATAATAGGAATACATGAGAGTTTAATATCAAAGTCAAGTAGTTGTTGTTTAAACCACAAAATTTGGGCACAACAACAACAACCGACTGCCATGTATTCTGCCTCGGTCGTTGACAAAGCGACAAAAACTTGCTTCTTTCTATGCCAACTTATCAAGGATTTTGAAAACATGTGACAAGTTCCACTAGCTCTTTTCCTATCCAATTTGCAACCGAAAAATTCAGAATAGGAATAACCAATCAAAGTACAATTGTTTCCCTTGGAATACCAAAGTTCAAACTTAAATGTATCAATGAGGTATCTAAGAATGCGCTTAACGACTTTTAAATGTGATTCCTTAGGAACCGATTGATATTGTGCGCACATACAAACACTAAACATAATATATAACCTAGTTGTTGTAAGATAAAATAGAGATCCAATCATACCTCTATACCTCTTTACCTCAACATCCTTATCCTTTTTATCTTTATCCAAGTTTCCATAGGTGTATCAATTTTCTTACTGCTGTCAATCCAAATTTTTTGAGTAATTTGAGACAATACTTTGTTTGACACACAAATGTTCCTTCATTAAGTTACTTAATTTATAGTCCAAGGAAGTAGTTTAACTCTCCCATTAGACTCATTTCAAACTCTCCCTACATAAGCTTAGAGAACTCCTTGACAAGATACATATTAGTTTATCCAAAAATGATATCATCAACGTAAATTTGAATAAGTAAAATATGCTTTCCTTGATGTCTAATAAAGAGTGTGATGTTAACATTTCCCCTAGAGTAACCTTGTTCGAGCAAAAATTTACTAAGTCGGTAATACCATGCCCTAGGGGCTTGTTTAAGACCATACAATGTGTAATAACTGACAAAAAATAGAGTCGCCACAATTATTTTTTATCTTAAGGAAGGCAATATAACAGATAACCCTAATTTGGACCAGAGATTCTAAGTTGTTGACTCATTTTAGATGAAGGAAATGTGTTAGACACCCCTCATCTACCTTGTTCACAAGGATACTAGGGTTTAAATTTACATTTTAGGAATGGGGTTTTAATTTTAATTAGGGGAACTCACCACGGTTTTTAAGTCATATGCCTACGTATCCTCTTTTGAGGAATCAATGTCTCAATTCGTATTTCACAGTTGGTTGGTGTTTTTTTTATGGATTACGAAGATATTTTGAATTCTCCTTGAACCAAGTCTGTGTGTGTGAATAGCGGAATTGATAAATGAAATTCGCAGTTTACGAGAAATATATCCATAATGCTTTTTGAAAATAATCTTGCGTTTATTAAGTTAGTAGAAGATGGTTTGATCGTTGGTTAGCTATTTTAAATTTCGATTTGATTAAAGAGTATGATAAGATACAGAGCAAGGAAAGTTTGATAAAGTCTTCCTCTTCACTATGCCAGATATTGACCACATGTTTCTTGTCATGAAGGATGTGGAGGAATTTTGATAAAGTCTCCCTAATCACGTGGCCAGATATTGACCACATGTTGCTCGCAGATGGAGCATCTTATGAGTTGCGTGAATTTTAATATCTTTTACAAAATATTGAATTAATTTTGATTTGGAAAAAAAGTTTGATTTAATACACGTTAAGTCTTTTAATCAAGCTAAAAGGAAATAAACTAATTAAATGACATTTTTGTCTTTTTTATTTATTTATTTTTTTCATTTTTAATATGATAATTAAAATCTAGCAAAACAAGTTAACCAGTGTGGGGTCTATATAACATGTGGGAGTGGTGACTGAAAATGGATTAGGCCCAATAGTCCAAAATAAAACCCTAACTAAAATTAAATAAATAAAAGACAAACTTTGAGGAAAAAAGTTTGCACAATAAGGGGACGCCTCATTGTTAGCAAACTTATTCATGATTAAAGCAAATATTAGTATAATAAATCTCAGCTTTGACTTTTCAACCATAGAATAAATTGGTCCAATTAGATAATGACACGTGGCATTGTTTTATTATAAAAAAAGTTGAAGCACATTACCAGCATATTGATATTAGGAGAACAGAGAGAAAAACACAAAACCAACCGTTTACCTCATCTCCTTTTCTCTCTTCTTCTTGCTCTGTTTTTTGTGAATTGATATTGATGTTGATTTAAGTTTTGTAGCTTCTAATCATGGTTTTTTTTAGAGGTTGATGATGGTTAAAAGTTTAACTAATGCAGGTTTTGGGATGACAGGTTATTATAATAACAGTGATGAAGATTATATCTAGTTTGGGAAGGAGATTGAAGATTGGCTATGGAGGTGATCGTTGAATGAGTGTTGTTCGAGGAATTTTCTATGCTGTTATTTTTTATCAAAACGTGGCCTTCTGCGTGAAAAAGAGAAAGTTGACTAATGATGTTAATGTGATTTTTTGTGTAGAGGTTAAAGTGTAACAGTGTAAAGGTTTTGTTGACTAAATTAAAAAGAAGAGCTTTTTTTTGTACGTGTGAATGTGTGTGACTGCTGAAAATTGTTGGTGTGAATTGTTGATGTCGTGGATCATGTGGAAGTGAAAATTAACCTTCAAAAGATATATATAATTGTTATGGTAAAGATAAAACCATCAACTAATCATCGTATGATATAAAATAGCAACGAAATTAAAATAAGAAAAAGTTAAAAGTGAAATAAAAGTTTGGTCTCATATCGAAGATTTAATAATCAGTCAAAAATATCAATAGTAAAAGAGATTTTTTTAAAGAAATTTGTTAAAGAAAAAATTAAAATGTGAGTGAAATTCGTGGAACTGTGAGAAATTCTGGATATGTTTCTCAGAGTTTCTGTTCAAAAACTCTGGAATAAACTAAAAGTAAGAGAGATTTATGGATTGTGAAATTGTGAATTTTTGATGAAAATTATGTTGGACAATAGTCCTATTTATAGATTTAGAATTAGGTTAAAAAAACTTAGAAAGAAAGTTACCAAAAAACCAAGAGAAGTCCAAAGCCTGATCTTTAAAAAGGAAAGAAAATTAGTAACAAAAAATTATTAAAAAAAGTTAAAAGTGCAACACAAGAGATTCAAACTTTCCACCTCATACTTGCAAGCTTCATTCCTTACCAATTGTGCTATGTTACTCATTTGAAATAAAAAAAACCAATTGAAAGTATATGAAAACGAACAAGTATTTGCTATTTAAAATACAAATAGTTTGAAATAAACTAGTATACATTCTTAAACGAGCGAAATAAATTATTGTTAAAATGTTAGTAAAATTGAATCAAAGAATATTATAAAAACCAATGTTGAAAATATTTTTGACTGTAGATATAAAGGACGGACAAATTTGGGATAGGATACAATGAACCTTTTAACTTGAACACATAATTAGGAAACTCATCATTTTCAAAACCGGGAGGTTGAGCAACATATGTATCCGTTAAGAAATGCACTTTTTACGTCCATTTGATATAATTTGAAATTTTTAGAACATGTGAATGCCAATAAAAGGCGTATAGCCTCGAGTTGGGCAACAGGAGCATAAGTCACCTCATAGTCAATGCCTTCCCTTTGCTTATAACCTTGATCCACAAGACGGGCTTTATTTCTTGTTATCACACCATGATCATCAAGCTTATTCCTAATACCCATCGAGTACCTATAATTTGATTATTTTGTGGACGGGGAACAAGGTCTCAAACGCCATTTCTTTCAAATTAATTTAATTCATCTTGCATGGCCATAATCCAATGCTCATCAAGTAAGCCATCCTTAGCGTTTTTAGGTTTAACTTGTGATACATATGCATGATGATAACAAAAATTACTTATTTTAGAACGAGTCATTACCCCTTTGGTGATATAATCAATAATGTTCTCGATTGGATGATCCTTGGAGGTTCTCCACTCCAATGGAAGACCATAATTTTCTTCGTGACTTTCATCATTTTTCTCTTCTAGGTTGTCATCTTTATCCTTCTCAACATCTACCGGCTTAGGTTGATCAACTCCTTTATCGGTATCTTTGAGTATATCTTTTGTAGATGCACCTACAACATGAAAAGAACTACCTTTCCCAACACTATTTGGGGAGGTCTCATCAAAAGTAACATGGAAGGACTCCTCAACAATAAGTAATCTTTTGTTATAAACTCTATAAGCTTTACTAGATAGAGAGTATCCAAGAAAGATACATTCATCGACTTTCGTGTCAAATTTTCCAAGATCATCTTTTCCATTATTTAAAACAAAATATTTACATCCACAAACAATAATGGGACGAATGAGTATCCTATTCAAGACGTAGCAAGTTGTTCTAATAGCATCAACCCAAAAATATTTAGGTTGACCATAATCATTGAGCATTTTTCTTGCAAACTCCGTTAAAACATGGTTTTTACACTCCACAACACCATTTTCTTGTGGAGTTCTAGGAGCTCAAAAGTTATGTTCAATGCCAAACTTATCACAATATTCTTAAAAGAGATGATTCTCAAATTCACCTCCATGATCACTTCGAATTGCAACAATTTTTGAATTTAATTTGTTTTGAGATAACTTGGGAAAATGTGTGAAAACTGAGAACGTTTCATCTTTGCTACGTAAGAAAAATGTCCAACAAAATCATGAGTACTCATCTACAAGTACGAGACCATAGTAATTACCACATACGCTTTTAGCCCGTGAGGGACCAAATAAATTCATGTGAAGGAGGTCAAGTGGTCTTGATGTTGAAACAACATTTTTTTATTTAAAAGAGACCCTTGTTTGATTACCCTTTTGACATACATCACATAGATGGTCTTTTGAAAAAAAATCATTTTTGGTAGACTGATAACTAAATCTTTTGCAACAATTTTGTTAAGTAGATCAAAGTTGACATGAGTCAAACATCTATGCCATAGCCAAGAGTCTTCACTCAAGGTAATAAGACATTGGGTATTATTCAAGAAAGTTTCTCTTAAGTCAAGCATATAGATATTACTAACCATCACCCCTTTAAACATACAATCCTTATTTTCATTATGTTCAATTATACAATGATCTTTAACAAAAGTTACTTTATAATCATTATTACATAATTGACTAATACTAAAAAGGTTATGTCTAAGACCTTCAACTAGCATAACATTTGAGATAGTAATAGTTAATGGGTTACCTATACTACCTTTTCCAAGTATCACACCTTTGTTGTGATCACCATAGGATACAAACTCTTTCTTATTCGCCATAAAGTCAGAGAAAAGGAATATTTCTCTCGTCATGTGTCTTTAACATCCACTATCGAGAATCCATTTTCCCATCATAGCGTCAAGACACGCATCCTACCAAAATTAAACAAGGGTGGTAGGTACCCAATTCTCATTGGGTCCTTGAGAGTGAGTTAATTAAATGTTTCTTTTGGGCAACCATTGAAAATTTCCTTTAGGCACCAAAAAACACCTAAACTTGCATTTTTCAATATTGTGTCTCTTTTTGCAACAATAGTGACAAAATAATATATGATAATAATCACTTATGCTATTAGACTTTTCTTTAATCAAGTTATAACTCTTATTAGGCTTTTCAACCTTTGAGCATCCAATAGAAATAGTGTTAGTAGGATGATGTATTTTGTCCAATTTGGTTTCAAGTGTACTCACTTCTTGTTGCTAAACTTTACATGTTTCACATCTAAATTTATAAGATTTTTTATCCTCCTTTACACAATTTGAACCATTTACAATGAGTTTCTTTGATGCTTCAAAAATTTTATTTGTTTCTTCAACCTTGGCCTCCAAATATGTAAAAACTTTTTCTTGGGAGGCCAACTTTTTGTTTGCATATAAAGTTTCTTTTTGTAAATTTTCAAATTGATTCTTTAGATCATTAAAATAAAAATGTGCAACATTTGAGTATTTAGAATGACTTGCATTATTTTTCTTTTCTTGACGATGGTTTTCCATGAAACAATAGTTTGCCTCTTCATCACTCTTACTTGAGCTTTCATTGCTTGAGACCTCACTATCATTATTCTAAGCAATATAGGTTTGTCTAGAATTTTTAGAGTTGTTTCGTTGACCCTTTCCTTTCTTCTTAGCAAGTGAAGGATAATCCTACCTATAATGACCCGGTTTTCCGCATTCATAGCGTATACCCTTTGACTTGTCTTTTTTTTTTTGTCTTCATCCTTAGAGGAGGAGGATTTTATTCTAAATTTGACAAGATTTTTATCAGAGTGTTTGACACTATTCTTTTAAATGTATCGATTATATCTTTTTACAAATAGTCATATCTCTTCATCATCTGAATTTTCTTCATTACTAGAGTCACTATCACTTGAGAGCTCTTCCCTTGAGGACTTTGAGCATGAAGACTTGAAAGCCTTATACTTCAATAATTCCTCCTTGACGACCCCTTTTTATTTCTTCTTTTTCTCAAGCTTCTTTTCATGTTTGTCTAAGCAATTGAGTTCTTACTCATACTCTTCTAGCTTACCAAACAATGCAGTGAGATCGAGTGTAGCAAGGATATTAGCTTCCTTGATTGCGGTGACCTTTGGTTGCAAATTTCTAGTAAGATATCTCAACACCTTGTTAGTAGCAATAGCATTGGAAATAAGATTGCCTAGTAAACTTAAACGAATAATAAGATGATAAAACCTCTTTTGCATTTGAGCAATGGTTTCCCCTTGCTTCATGTGAAAGAGTTCAAACTCTTTATTAAGTGTATTAATTATATCTCGTTTGACCTCATTAGTTCCCTCATAGGTTACTTGTAGAGTGTCCCACATAGCTTTAGCGGTTTGACAATGGGAAATGCGATAGAACTCATATACACCAAGTGAGGATATAATGATGTTCTTTTCTTTCCAATCGCAAGACCACTTTTTCTCATCTTTATCGTCCCATAAGTTTTCCGACTTTGGTACGGTAACACCATCAACAATATATGTCACTGGTGTGCGAACATTTAGAATGGCTTCCCAAACACCTTTGTCATATGAGTTAATATGAATTTGCATACAAGCTTTCCAATAACTATAATTTTCTTCCGTGAAAATTGGGGCTCTTTTGTATCCCCCTTTAGGTTCGTAAGCCATTTTCTAAGAAGTGTTGAAGCTGGAACGAATCGGGCTCTTGATGCCACTTGTTAGACAACGATAATGATATATAAAGGGGGGCTGAATAGACACCCCTTTAAAAATATCCAAATAAAATTTGGTTTTGAAAAGTTTTATCAAAGTGCAACGCATAAGCTTTTTCATATTGTCGTTTATACAAATGTTATTGGGAAGCTCAGATATGTAAACCGTAAATAAAAATTGATATGAAATGAGAATGATAATATGAACTAATAACCTTGAATCACTTTGCAACTTATTTACTTTTTAATCAATTTCACTTAGCAATATTATTTCTAATGACAATATTAAAAGAACTTGTTAAGTCAATTTATCAAACACTTGGTGTGCAAGTGAATTTTCAGAATTTTTCCTTTGATTATGTTGATACATAAAACCACCTATAATCAAAAGTGATTATAAGTTATTTCAATAGTTGAATTAAAAATCAAAATTGATTAGGAAAATTCTT